CTCAGCAGTGTCTCTTTCTGTCCAAGGTCTCGTATTTTACTTTAGATGAGCCACTTATGTGAAGAAATACTCTTCCTATTGTTTTGCTTAGCATGGGAAGGAAAATTTGCAACACTAAAATCTGTGAGCTCACCTTTGAAAGGGGGGGTACAAAGCCTAAGAATATTTATCATACTCTGGATCTTGAGGATATACTTGCACCTATACTTTATTATTTAGCACAAATTAAGGCATTGTATGTCATCATCAGAAAATACACCTGATAACGTACATTCAGAAATCTAAAAAGGCCACCCAGATAAAATAGTTATAATTCTTCTACTAAACAAATCAAATATGCTGTACTGCTTTCATTTTACTTGTGGATCTTCCAAATTCTTAATGTTCAAACATTGATTACAAGTCTATCCTGAATAAAAAAAAAGCTTCCTAAAGTCACATTTGTTGTACATCTGCAGTGTGTTTTTGTCTTTGATTTGTTTTGCTTTTTTCCCTACTAGCCAGTTTATTTTTACCTAGCTCTTAGTTCCTTTTCTTGCTCCAGTCTTCCACCTATTCAGTTGGCTTTATAGGTGCTGCTGATCACTACAGCTTTTGGTTTTTCTGACATGCAGTAATGTATAATTTTATTTTGTGATCGTATGCTAAAGTACCTTTTTCATTTTTGGGAGTACTGTCAATGTAGGAGCAAAATTTATTCCCGACTCTTGCCAAAGTGACAATTTTTCTGGTTTTTGCCCAAATAATTTGATTTTCTATTTTAAGTAAGTGTATCAATCATTATCAATAAACATGTCACGAGACATGCAGAAGTAGTTTTGGGGTATGCATGGAGCTGAGTTCTAAACCATCTCACTTGGCTCAGAGGAGTGTCAGGGTGACCAACCGAATGAAACGTGCACAGTGTAGACAGCAGTCAAAACCCGGGAGGGGTTTTTGTGTCTTTAGATCGTATTTTCTGTTACATCTCTAATTTTGTAAGAGTGGAAAACTGTATTTGCTTTTGTTCAGTTCAGAGAGGAGGGAAAAGAGATATCCAGAGAGAGTGTCAGTAACTCCTGTATTTCAAGAAGAGTGAAGTAGTTTTTGGCAAGTAAGGAACAACTTTTCTAAGGCACAAGTGGCTGTTTCTTTCAGGTGTTCTTACAATTTGTTTTGAAGATTCTAACAGGATCCTGATTTAAGGAGACAGCAGACTCATTATCTAAAGCTACCTACTACAGAAAAATAAAGTTGCTGCCCTTCACCTGCCCCAGTTCAAATACTCTTGTTTCTTTATACCAGACATCTCTAAATAGAGGTGTTAGATTCAAGTGGTGAATAGTATCAGTTAACTAAACCCAAAACCATTTTTCAACAAGTAGCAATGGGCACCTTCCCTGTGAGTACAGGCTGAGAAAGTTGGAGTTGTTTAGCCTTGGAGAAGAGAAGGCTCCAAGGAGTCCTTATTGCGGTGTTTCAGTTCTTAAAGGGGGTTTATAAGAAAGATATGGACAAACTTTTTAGTATGGCCTATAGTGGTAGGCCAAGGGGTTAACAGTTTTAGACTAAAAGAGTAGACTCAGAGTAGATATAATAATATCTAATAATAACAGATATAATAATATCTAATAATAATAATGAGAATGGTGTAACACTGGCACAGGGTGCCCAGAGAGGTGGTGGAGGCTCCATCCCTGGAAACATTCAAGGTCAGGCTTGAGGGGGCTCTGAGCAACCTTATCTAGTTAAAGATTTCCCTGCTTATTGCAGGGGGCTTGGGGCTAGATGACCTTTTAAAGGTCCTGTCCAACCCAAACTAGTCTAATTCTATCCTTCTGAAGAGCTTCTTGCCTCACTGTTCTGTGGTTCGGATATTAAGAACGATTGCTGCAGACTTGCAGGAAGTCTTGACTTGGTGTTTATTATGAAGACGAGTGACAGAATGGTCACGTTAAGGTGAAGTAATGGAAGTATTTGGTCATCAGTACCTCACTATGGTTGCAGTTGACCTAGAAATAATCATTTATTAATATTCAGCAGTGTGGGGTAGAGAACACCAATTCAGGATTTTATCAAGAGTACTGCATTGAGAGCCCTTGAACTTATTCCAGGTTGTTTAGGGTGTGCGTCAGATACAAATAACTTTAACAGATCTGTAAAATAAGATACTCCTCCTAGAGAATCAAGATAAAAGAACTGGAATCTAACAGTAATAAAAATGCATCCTGTGCTTAGACTTCCTGTATAGAATGTCATAAGTGTATGAAAAAGAAGGGGAACAAGTAATCAGAAATGAGTGTTTTGAAGAATCATAGCTTTTGGAGGGGCTTGAAAGAACCAAACGGTGTGAACATACGAATGCTGGGTCATTATCTGTTCCTTGGGTCTTCCTTTGCTCTATGACAGAATTCATCTACACCTTGTCACGCTTGCTATAAAATCTGTTTTGAAGTAGTTACTAATGGAGAAACTGCGTATTTGTGAGAAAATGCCAGAAAGCGTTCTTCCCTTTTATTATACCAATCATATTTATTGCATTGAAGTCCAACATTCTGATTTATTCTTTTAAAGACTCATATACTTTAAGTCCCTCTTTTGGAGGGAAAAAATGAGATAACAGTAGATTGTACATTGTGTAAAACTCAGATTTTACACTTACCTATTTTTTGTTTATTTTTTTCATTTAGAAACCTCGGCATGGGGAGAAATTCACTGGCAGCTCCAACTTCTGAAGACTTCTAGAAGAAATTCTGGCTTTTTCCAAGCAACAGGATGGAACAAAGAAAGCTCGTGTGAGCAGAAGGAATTTGGACCTGACACCACAAGAGACTTTTTTTAAGTTCTTAGTTATATGAAGCTGAATACTTTTTACATATGAAAGAGGCAAATTGTCATTGCTGCCATCAATAAAACCACAGTGCACTATTCTATTCTTTGCCTTGTATTCTTTTTACTGAGCCTTCGTTGCTAGTTATGCATCATGATTTTTATTCATTTTAAATTGATTTTGGTTCTAATACTGTTTCTAGTACAGTAAAAGTAAAGCTTTGAATTTCTCAAAAACAGACGGGATTGGGCCTTTAATTTAGGTTTTAGGCTAGCATAGTGAAACATGTTTAAAATTTTCAGCTGATTATTGTACAGTGTAATTCTGAATAGGTTGTGACTGTGTTTTCTGTGTTTATTTTCCAAAGTTGCTGAAGGCCAAATTACAAATTTGCTTATGTTTTTCATGATCTGTGACTGAAAGCTTGAAGGGGAATTAAAAAAAAACACATCCGTTTCATTAGTAATTTTCTAAATAATTTTAGGTAAATATTTCCTTTTCTTATTATTTGTATTACAGAAACAGGAATGTTTCTAGAAGGTACAGGAAAGTATTTAAAAAAAAAAAATACCAAAAGTTGCATATGAGTATTTTAAACATAAATACCTGTGTACATGCACACATGTGCAACCTGTTGAATACTTAGTTCTAACTTGCTTGTAGCTTTAAACTCTGCTTTTATTACTTCACTTTATTAGATTTTTTCAATTATCATTGATGCTTGAAAGAATCTTCCATCACTTTTCATTCTAAGCTGTATCTATGAATCTTATATTATTATGACAAATAGTTGAAATTTCACTATTTCCAGAGCTGAGAAGCACTCAAGATCTGTGTACCATGCAAATCCCTTCTAAGCTTTATTCTGATCATTTAATTAAGATTGTAATAGCACATGTGTTTAGAGGTAATTCTGTAAAAAGAGAATGGTAGGTGATGGTATAAGTTGTATAATTAATTCTGCTCAATTTGAGTGCTCATACAAATGTTTAGATAGAACCCAGCTAATACGGATGGAAAGTTTTATATTGGTGATGTAATTGAATGTATTTGCAGTACGTGACGTGGATTACTGTCCAAATGCAGTCACATCTTACCAATCACATAAATATCTGCAGAATTATAAGGACCCAAAGGTTTTGCTGCCTTAGTGGGTCCGAAGCAGCTTCTCGAGAATTATAATGCAACTCACTAATGATTCTGAAGAAATTTGGAAGCTTAAAACATGAACTGTACAATGTTGAAGTTACTCGCTATCAGCTGACACACAAGAAATTTTATGAAGTTTTTTAGACTTAGGTTAGAAACCACTTTCCAAATACTATGAACCATCCTGGTCAATTCTACTTAATTGTACCAGCAAAAAAATAAATTGTAGATCTGGTACATAGGATGTTGGATGCTTTACTTCCAGAATTACCGCTAAGACCACTGGTAGCAGCTATTCATAAAACTTAATATCACTTCATAAAGGGATGCAGCCGTAGCATCATTTTAGAGAGCAGTTTTGATTTTTCTTTACGAATAGACTGTGCATTAAATGAGCCCTACAACTGGTGTACCAAAGCAATTTCTGAAATTAAAATAACTTTTATGTTCTTTTGAGCTTTCATTCTTGCTGTGAACTAAGTCATGATATTCAGAAGACTGGAGTCTAATTTAGTGAACTGTAAAAAATAAAGCTTACTTATGAAAATCGGAAGACTGTAGAAATACAATGCAGCATTCCTCTGTAGTGCTTGTGGCATTCTGAAATTACCCATGCTTATGTGCATCTGTCTGTAGACAAATGGAATATATCTGAGAATTTTGCTTTTGATTGTAAAACAGGAAAGAACCATGTCCTGGCCTTTTAACTGGTGCTGAGGAACTGGAAAAGCAGAATAAGCAAACAGCTGGAGAGTCTTCTTGAAAAGACATGTCGTCTTTATGTGTTTTATGATTCTTTTCTGGTTTGGTTTTGACTGAAATAACTTCTGAAAGCTCTGCTTGTTTAGGATCTGAAGAACCAGTGATTGAGTAGCTAAAAACTATTTACATCAACCTGCTCTGAAAAGCAAGAATTCGTATATTCAGGCTTATTGATTCCTATATATGGAAACAACATAATGCTGAACTAAGTATGTAGAAAAATTTTTTTGCTTTGCATAATCCACTAAAGCCACAAATATAAGTTTGTAACTAAAGTTTACATACTAAAGTTTACATAACTGAAGTTTACATACACAAGAACAACATTTCATTAGCTTTTATGTCCAGAAAAAATTGTCATGACTAGACAGATCTTCAAAACCGATAGGAGTTCTCATTTGTCAAAAGCAAGCTTCTGAACTTTGTGAGGCAACATCTGTGTAGTCAAACAAAAAAGGCCAATAAGGAGCACTGAATCGTGATAGTCCACACTCTTTAATAGCTTATTTTCCGACTCTTGTTTTGGAGCGTTCTTGACCAGCTGTTTCCAAGACAAACCTGTCGTAGACTTTGCCCTTTGCAAGCTGGACATGAGCCAATCTGTGCCCCTTGACCTGTGATCCAGTACGTACCTGGTCCATGACCCTCCTTTGCTCGGGTTATAGATGGAGCTTATGAGAATTTCTGTCTCGAATTTAGGAATGCATTTCTAATGAGATGTTTTCCATGCTATGGTCTTGTATATAGCATTTTTACTTAAAGGAAATTAAATATAAGTTAGAATTTCTGATTTAAATTATTCTAAAAGTTATGTGCCAAGTTGATAATACTATCATTGAATATTTTTTTCCTGTCTTTATATTGTTGAGAGGTAAAATCATTTTGAAACAAATAGTGGAAATGTTCTAGTTTTATCTTATGTGTTTTCAGAGTTTTGCCACAAACTCTTTTTGAAGTTGTCATCTTTTCATATAAAATTCTTCCTTGGTCTAACATCTTCTGATAGACATTCATATATATATATCTATATCTATATATCTAATGCATGTATTAATATGCCTCTTCCTTTTGTTGCTAACAGGTGCTTTATTATCGAATCTTTGGCAACAGCTGTAGAAAGTCTTTTGAGGATCACTTGTCAAGATCGCTTTTCCAAGACACGCTGCTGGAATTGTCTCTGCAGAATCTCTCTGTAATGACTTGAGCCGTATGCAGATGAAACTTGTTGGGAATATGACTCTCCAAGGTGTATTTTCCCATTGGGTCACAAAAGGTTGATATCACAGGAAGGACGAATCTTACTCATGAGGTGCACTTGCCTTTAGATCCATAGAATGAGGAAAACATTAATGGAAGATAAAGATTTAGCTTGATATGAAGAGACATTTGCAAGAGAACTCCCAAACAGCCAAATTAGCTATTGAAGGTTGATCTGACGTTAGCCAGGATGCTGAAAGAATCTGGGAGTGTAGGACAAACAGCCCCTCTCTAGCATTATGGTTGGAGGGGATTTCATACAGAAAAATCTCCTGTGCTTTTATGCGTACACAGGAACATGGGAATGGTTGGCTGTAGGTGCTTACTCAAAGAAGAATCCTAGTTTCATTCTCCTTTTCATCATATGACTTGATCGAACTCCAGTAAAATCTTACAACTTTCTTGAGAACTATATAAGCCTGAAAAACAGCTCATTGCACAATATAAGTAGCTCAGTTTAGCTTTTCATACAACTATTGAGGTGTTCTCTTGGGGGATGTTTTTTGTGGTTGTTTGGATTTTTTGCTTAGTTGGGTTTTTTTCCTGAAATGATTTAAAGCAACCTGTTGCAGGAGAGAAGTTAAATTGTGGAAGGTTCTCCAAACCTGTAGGCACTGACTTCTCGTAGCGTGATACACACATGAAAAGCTGTGCGTACTATTGGGATCCTTCAAAGCAGTGGTGAAGACTCATAATTACTTTTCTTTTTTGATTTGTTTCCTGATACTTATTTCATATCAATAGCTTATGTTGGCCTGTTCTGGCTTTAAATTACAATTGTGTTTGATTTTATTTTTTTTGAGAATGATTCTAAATAACTTGGAAATTAAAGACAGAAATTACATCGATACTTAATTTTTCCACAAGACTGAGAGACCATAAAAAGCCAGTTTCCATACAAATGCATGGGCTGCTGATGGACATAATTAATCTAGCATAGATTAAAAATAAATCTTAAGTGTGTTCAAATAAGTAGGAACTGTGGGAAGAAAATCAGTTGTAAAATAGTAGCAGAGCACTATAAATGATCTAAAAAAATTTCTGCAGCTGCTTCTAAGGAAAATATTTGCAATCATAGTGCCTTGTATTATTTCCTGCAACTTGACTGATCTATCTCTGTCTTAAAATGGATGGAGAGGTAAGTATTATGCTGAAAATATTCCTGTCATTTTCAGGTGATTGAGTATGTCATGGGATCTTGAATGCTTTGCTTTGATTTTATACCATGTATTTCTAAACTGTAAAGCGTAAGAAACATAAATAGTATATTTGTTAACCACAAGTATATTTAGCTAGTTATTAGACAAATGGCAGTGCCTCTGCTAAAACAGCTGTAATCTTACAAGACTGCACAGATTTAAGTCTCAATTAACTATCCATCTTGTGCTGATTATTCTTCTGCAGGTGTTTAGCTAAGGAACTTGGTTTCTTTACAATAGTAATAAAAGTAAATAGCAGAATAAATAAAAGATGCTCTATCATTTTGACGTGCCCCAAATGAAAATTCTTCTTGTACCGAGGGACTAGAGTAGCATATACACAGTCAGTGTACCATATGCCTTTGGAGTAACTAAAATAGTTTTCTCCAAAATTTATTTTTTTTCCCCCTGGTAATTAAAAAAAAAATATTTCATCCCAGTTTAGTAGATGGGATAGAACAGATGATCTACTCTGGCATTTCACTGCTCTTGCAATATCAGTCTTTGAGTGCGTTGTGCTCAAATGTTTCAAATAACAGATACTCTTGATGGGCACATACTAAGTGTAATTTTACTCTAGTTGATTGGATTTAAAATGTATATCAAAACTTTATTTAGCATGGTACTCGGTGAAGTTGAGGTACGTCAGGCTGACATGGATCAGGAGTAGAAAGCATAGTTGTTCCAGTGCGCTACAGCTGCAGAAACAACTACAGAATGCAGCGTGTG